GTCCTGCTCCCAGTAGACTAAATGGAGAGAAGGGGAGGTAGACAACATGGGTCCTGTGTGCTCCCAGTAGACTAAATGGAGAGAAGGGGAGGTAGACAACATGGGTCCTGATCCCAGTAGACTAAATGGAGAGAAGGGGAGGTAGACAACATGGGTCCTGTGTGCTCCCAGTAGACTAAATGGAGAGAAGGGGAGGTAGACAACATGGGTCCTGTGTGCTCCCAGTAGACTAAATGGAGAGAAGGGGAGGTAGACAACATGGGTCCTGTGTGCTCCCAGTAGACTAAATGGAGAGAAGGGGAGGTAGACAACATGGGTCCTGTGTGCTCCCAGTAGACTAAATGGAGAGAAGGGGAGGTAGACAACATGGGTTCTGTGTGCTCCCAGTAGACTAAATGGAGAGAAGGGGAGGTAGACAACATGGGTCCTGCTCCCAGTAGACTAAATGGAGAGAAGGGGAGGTAGACAACATGGGTCCTGTGTGCTCCCAGTAGACTAAATGGAGAGAAGGGGAGGTAGACAACATGGGTCCTGTGCGCTCCCAGTAGACTAAATGGAGAGAAGGGGAGGTAGACAACATGGGTCCTGCTCCCAGTAGACTAAATGGAGAGAAGGGGAGGTAGACAACATGGGTCCTGTGTGCTCCCAGTAGACTAAATGGAGAGAAGGGGAGGTAGACAACATGGGTCCTGTGTGCTCCCAGTAGACTAAATGGAGAGAAGGGGAGGTAGACAACATGGGTCCTGCTCCCAGTAGACTAAATGGAGAGAAGGGGAGGTAGACAACATGGGTCCTGCTCCCAGTAGACTAAATGGAGAGAAGGGGAGGTAGACAACATGGGTCCTGTGTGCTCCCAGTAGACTAAATGGAGAGAAGGGGAGGTAGACAACATGGGTCCTGTCCTGCTCCCAGTAGACTAAATGGAGAGAAGGGGAGGTAGACAACATGGGTCCTGTGTGCTCCCAGTAGACTAAATGGAGAGAAGAGGAGGTAGACAACATGGGTCCTGCTCCCAGTAGACTAAATGGAGAGAAGGGGAGGTAGACAACGTGGGTCCTGTGTGCTCCCAGTAGACTAAATGGAGAGAAGAGGAGGTAGACAACATGGGTCCTGCTCCCAGTAGACTAAATGGAGAGAAGGGGAGGTAGACAACGTGGGCCCTGCTCCCAGTAGACTAAATGGAGAGAAGGGGAGGTAGACAACATGGGTCCTGTGTGCTCCCAGTAGACTAAATGGAGAGAAGGGGAGGTAGACAACATGGGTCCTGCTCCCAGTAGACTAAATGGAGAGAAGGGGAGGTAGACAACATGGGTCCTGTGTGCTCCCAGTAGACTAAATGGAGAGAAGGGGAGGTAGACAACATGGGTCCTGTGTGCTCCCAGTAGACTAAATGGAGAGAAGAGGAGGTAGACAACATGGGTCCTGCTCCCAGTAGACTAAATGGAGAGAAGGGGAGGTAGACAACGTGGGCCCTGCTCCCAGTAGACTAAATGGAGAGAAGGGGAGGTAGACAACATGGGTCCTGTGTGCTCCCAGTAGACTAAATGGAGAGAAGGGGAGGTAGACAACATGGGTCCTGCTCCCAGTAGACTAAATGGAGAGAAGGGGAGGTAGACAACATGGGTCCTGCTCCCAGTAGACTAAATGGAGAGAAGGGGAGGTAGACAACATGGGTCCTGTGTGCTCCCAGTAGACTAAATGGAGAGAAGGGGAGGTAGACAACATGGGTCCTGTGTGCTCCCAGTAGACTAAATGGAGAGAAGGGGAGGTAGACAACATGGGTCCTGTGTGCTCCCAGTAGACTAAATGGAGAGAAGGGGAGGTAGACAACATGGGTCCTGTGTGCTCCCAGTAGACTAAATGGAGAGAAGGGGAGGTAGACAACATGGGTCCTGTGTGCTCCCAGTAGACTAAATGGAGAGAAGGGGAGGTAGACAACATGGGTCCTGTGTGCTCCCAGTAGACTAAATGGAGAGAAGGGGAGGTAGACAACATGGGTCCTGTGTGCTCCCAGTAGACTAAATGGAGAGAAGGGGAGGTAGACAACATGGGTCCTGCTCCCAGTAGACTAAATGGAGAGAAGGGGAGGTAGACAACATGGGTCCTGTGTGCTCCATGTAGACTAAATGGGGAGAAGGGGAGGTAGACAACATGGGTCCTGCTCCCAGTAGACTAAATGGAGAGAAGGGGAGGTAGACAACATGGGTCCTGTGTGCTCCCAGTAGACTAAATGGAGAGAAGGGGAGGTAGACAACATGGGTCCTGTGTGCTCCCAGTAGACTAAATGGAGAGAAGGGGAGGTAGACAACATGGGTCCTGTGTGCTCCCAGTAGACTAAATGGAGAGAAGGGGAGGTAGACAACATTGGTCCTGCTCCCAGTAGACTAAATGGAGAGAAGGGGAGGTAGACAACATGGGTCCTGCTCCCAGTAGACTAAATGGAGAGAAGGGGAGGTAGACAACATGGGTCATGTGTGCTCCCAGTAGACTAAATGGAGAGAAGGGGAGGTAGACAACATGGGTCCTGTGTGCTCCCAGTAGACTAAATGGAGAGAAGGGGAGGTAGACAACATGGGTCCTGTGTGCTCCCAGTAGACTAAATGGAGAGAAGGGGAGGTAGACAACATGGGTCCTGTGTGCTCCCAGTAGACTAAATGGAGAGAAGGGGAGGTAGACAACATGGGTCCTGTGTGCTCCCAGTAGACTAAATGGAGAGAAGGGGAGGTAGACAACATGGGTCCTGTGTGCTCCCAGTAGACTAAATGGAGAGAAGGGGAGGTAGACAACATGGGTCACGATGCAACACATGACGCTCTGCCATCTAGTGGACAAATCAGCAGTGGTGTAAAATACTTAAGTATAAATACTTTAAAGTACTACTTAAGTAGTTTTTTTGGGGTATCTGAACTTTACTTTACTATTTATATTTTTTACAACTTTTACTTTTACTTCACTACATTTATTGAGCAAATTATGTACTTTTTACTCAATACTTTTTTCCTGACACCCAAAAGTACTCGTTACATTTTGAATGCTGAGCAGGACAGGAAAATGGTCTAATCCACACACTTATCAAGAGAACATCCCTGGTCATCCCTACTGTCTCAGATCTGGCAGACTCACTAAACACATGTTTCATTTGTAAATTATGTCTGAGTGTTGGAGCATGCCCCTGGCTAGCCGTAAAATTAAACCAACAAGAAAATTATGCCCTTTGGTTTAATTTATATAAGGAATTTAAAATGATTTATACTTTTACTTTTACTTTTGATTCTTATGTATATTTTAGCAATTACATTTACTTTTGTGGACATTTCATAATACAACACAGCACTGTCATCTAGTGGACATATCAGGATACAACACATAGAACCACTAGGTCGAGGAAGCTTTATTTGGCAAGTTGGCACCCATTCACTGGTGTTGCTCAAGCTAAACACACAAAATAAAAAAAATACAATTTCCAATTTTACATAAACAATTAGAATATAAAACACATTGAAGCCGTTACAACATTCATCATGGACATAACACTACAACATTCCTTCTGTTAGTAGTAATGAAGCCGTTACAACATTCATCATGGACATAACACTACAACGTTCCTTCTGTTAGTAGTAATACTGATACTGTCAGCTGGTTCTAGGTTCTCATGATAAACTAACTCTTGTTGTTGATAGTTCCAGTCAATGGTGTCTGTATGTTCTCATGATAAACTAACTCTTGTTGTTGATAGTTCCAGTCAATGGTGTCTGTATGTTCTCATGATAAACTAACTCTTGTTGTTGATAGTTCCAGTCAATGGTGTCTGTATGTTCTCATGATAAACTAACTCTTGTTGTTGATAGTTCCAGTCAATGGTGTCTGTATGTTCTCATGATAAACTAACTCTTGTTGTTTGATAGTTCCAGTCAGTGGTGTCTGTATGGTTCTCATGATAAACTAACTCTTGTTGTTGATATTTCCAGTCAGTGGTGTTGTATGTTTCTCATGATGAACTAACTCTTTGTTGTTGATAGTTCCAGTCAGTGGTGTTGTATGTTCTCATGATGAACTAACTCTTGTTGTTGATAGTTCCAGTCAGTGGTGTCTGTATGTTCTCATGATGAACTAACTCTTGTTGTTGATAGTTCCAGTCAGTGGTGTCTGTATGTTCTCATGATAAACTAACTCTTGTTGTTGATAGTTCCAGTCAGTGGTGTCTGTATGTTCTCATGATAAACTAACTCTTGTTGTTGATAGTTCCAGTCATTGGGTGTTGTATGTTCTCATGATAAACTAACTCTTGTTGTTGATAGTTCCAGTCAGTGGTGTTGTATGTTCTCATGATAAACTAACTCTTGTTGTTGATAGTTCCAGTCAGTGGTGTCTGTATGTTCTCATGATAAACTAACTGTTGTTGTTGATAGTTCCAGTCAGTGGTGTTGTATGTTCTCATGATAAACTAACTCTTGTTGCTGATAGTTCCAGTCAGTGGTGTCTGTATGTTCTCATGATAAACTAACTCTTGTTGTTGATAGTTCCAGTCAGTGGTGTCTGTATGTTCTCATGATAAACTAACTCTTGTTGTTGATAGTTCCAGTCAGTGGTGTCTGTATGTTCTCATGATAAACTAACTCTTGTTGTTGATAGTTCCAGTCAGTGGTGTCTATATGTTCTCATGATAAACTAACTCTTGTTGTTGATAGTTCCAGTCAGTGGTGTTGTATGTTCTCATGATAAACTAACTCTTGTTGCTGATAGTTCCAGTCAGTGGTGTCTGTATGTTCTCATGATAAACTAACTCTTGTTGTTGATAGTTCCAGTCAGTGGTGTCTGTATGTTCTCATGATAAACTAACTCTGTTGTGGAAACTTCACACGTCTCTGTTGTTGATGATGTTGATGGCGGTCAAGGCCGAAGCGTCTAAAGATAAGTGCGTTGGTGTGAAAAGGGAAGTAGGGAGAGAGAAGAGAAGTGAAAAGAGAAGTAAAGAGATGGACTGACAGGGTTGGGGTTATTCACCGCAGCTGAAGAGAGCATCTTTTTCCACCCACCATGACGTTCTGATGAACAGGGTCACTAGGTACAGAGGGAGGAGAGAGAGATGAGTGAGGGGACAGAGGAGATGATCCAGTCTTACTGCAGTGAAGACCTCCAACACCACTGGAACTTTATTCACCCCAACAGGTCTCAGTGTTTAATGTGTAGTTAGATACATTTATACACCCCAACAGGTCTCAGTGTTTAATGTGTAGTTAGAATTTAAACAAGGTCTCAGTGTTTAATGTGTAGTTAGATCATTAATCACCAACAGGTCTCAGTGTTGAATGTGTGTTTAGGATACATTATACCCCCCAACATTTTTCCCCAGTTTTTAAGGGTTGTATTTAAGATACATTTAACACCCCAAACCCGGCCGCCCAGTTATTATGATTTTGATTAAAACCAGGTTTTTTAAGGGTTTTGTTTGAAGGGGTTAGATCTGAATGTAAATAATACAGAATGGGGAAAGTGCCCTTACAGACAAAAATACCCCCTCCCGGCGAAAAGTCAACAAAGGGGGGAGTCGGGGTTTGTAAAACCTAAAACGGACACAGCCCAATTTTTAAAATGTTTGATAAGTCTTTTTGGGGGGCAAAAAAGGGAAGGGGAAAATTTTGTAGGGGGTGAAGGGAAAAAGGGTTTCAAGCCCCAAATAGTTTTGGGGGTGCTGGTGGGGGGAAAAACCAAACCCCTTTGGGGAAAAACTCCTATCTTTTTTTTTTTTCGTGTTTAGGCTTCTCGGTTTATTCTGTCTTTTCCCCTCTGTTTTGGGCCGGTTTGCTCGGGGAGGGAGAGAAAAGGAAGAGAGAGAGGAGAGAGAGCAAGAGGCGCGGAGAGAAGAAGAGGGGAGGAGGAGAGAGCCCGCGATGCTTGCTCTCCTCGATTACCGGCGTCATTTTATTCTATCTTCTTTTCCTCCTTCCTTCTCCGCTCTCCTCTTTATCCCCCCAAAAAACATTTCACGTTCCCTTACAGATAAAAGACCCTGCAGCGGCAGGGGTGTTTTTTATGGGAAATGCGCCCGTGTTTAGTACACTCCCAGTAAAAAAGTTAGGCCACCCCTACTTTTCCGGGGTTTTTTTGAAGGGGACTATTTTTAAAAGGGGGTAAAAATTCTTTTAAATGGAAGGTAAAAAATAATAAACATATGGAAAGTAGAAACCCAAGAAAGGTAAACAAATAAAAAATTATATTTTATATTTGGATTCTTAAAAAGGTACCCACCCTTTCCCTTTTGATGACAGCTTTCCCACACTTTTGGCTTTCTCTAAAACCCAAAGTTTCCCCCTGGAATGTTTTTCCCAAAACGGGTCTTGAAGGAGTTCCCCCCTAGGGCTGGGAATTTTTTTGGGCTGCTCTTCCTTAAATCTGCGATCCAAAACCCATCTAAATTTGGGGTTGGGGTTTGGGTGATTGTGGAGGCCAGGTCACCCTGATGCCAGCACCCATACTCTCCTTCGGGTCAAATACCCCTTTTACACCCCCGGAGGGGGGTTGGGCATTGTCCGTTAAAAGAAATGTTTATTTCCCACTAACCCCCCAAACCAAGAGGGGATGGGGATCGCGGGCAAATGCTTGGTAGCCAGGTGGTTATGTGTTTTTTGAATTAAAAAAAAAATCACCAGAAAAGGCCCCCCCAACACAAAAAACCACCCCCCCCCCTCCAGGTTCACAGGGGCCCTTATACATGCAGAGATAATTCGTTCACCGGGTTGCGTCTCACAAAACCCACGGGGGGTTGGAACAAGAAATTGCCCAAAAGGGGGAAGGGAATTTCCAGTCTAATTTTCCATTGTCGTGTTTTTTGGGCCCAAAAAGAAAGCCCTCTTTTCTTATTGGGCCCTTTTAGTAGGGGTTTTCTTTGAAAGCAATTCAACCAGGGAAAGGCCGGTTTCACGAAAGTCTCCTTGAACAGTTGTTTATTGAGGGGGTTGTTTTTGAATTTTTTAAAAGCATTTTTTTGGGGCTGAAAATTCTGAGGGGGGGGAACTCTAATGAATTTATCCTTGCAGAGAGGTAATCTGGGTCTTCCTTTCCTTTTGGGGCCCTCAGGGAGACCCAGTTTCATCATAGGTTGGGGTTTTTTACGAATTTCACTTGAAGAAAACTTTCAAAGTTCTTGACATTTTTCCCGGGTTGACTGACCTTCCCTGTCTTTAAAATAAGATTGATGTCGGGCTCTTTGCTTATTTGAGCTTTTTTTGCCCCCTAATATGGGGCTGGTTTTTTACCAAAAAAGGGGGTATTTCTGAATTTCCACCCCTTTCCTTGTCACAAAAACAAAAATGATTTTCTCAAAAAAAATTTTAAAAAAGGGAAAAAAATTTTAAATTTTAACAAGGCACACCTGTTAATTGGGAAAGGGATTTAAAGGGGACTACCCCCAAAAAATGGTTGAGAGAATGCAAAAACTGTGCAAAGCGTCATCAAGGCAAAGGGGGGGGGCTATTTTAAGAATTTCAAAAATAAAAATTTGTTTAAAAACTTTTTTGTTTATACTGATTTATATGTGGTTTTTTTAAAAGTTTTGAGGTTTTTCAAAAAAATTTTTCACAATGTAGAAAAAAGTAAAAATAAAAAAAAAACCCTTGAATGAGTAGGGTGTAAAAAATTTTTTATGGTAAGTAAAATGTATGTTGAAAGTGGGGTGTGTGTGGGTGGTGTATATGGTTTTGGTGTGTGAAAGTGGGGTTGGGGGGGTGTATTGTGTTTGTGTGTGTGTGTGTTGTGGGGGTGTGGGTGTGTTGGGGTTTTGGGTGTTGTGGTTTTGTGGGGTGTGTTGTTGTGTGTGTGTGTGGTGTTTTGGGTGTGTGTGTGTGTGTGTTGGGGGGGGGGGGTGTGTGTGTGGGTGTGGGGGTGTGTGTGGGGTGGGGTGTGTGGTGGCAGGGGGCAAAGGTGGGTTTTTAAACCCTGGGTGATTTTTTCCATATAGCTACCCAACCCCCAAAAAGACACAGATCTACTGCTCTGATTTAAAATTTTATATTTTGTGGGGGGGGGGACAGGCCCCTATTTTTATAATGCCTCCCCTTGTAACCATTTATTTGGGGACTTGGGGGGTTTTTAGCATCATGCTTTTTGTTTAAAGGGCAGCCCTGTGCTGGTCATAACCCTGTATAGGCCACCAAAACATGCCCCAATTTTTTTACTGATTTTTTTTAAAACTGAACTTTGTCTATTGTCCTTTAGAAAATGATACCAAACATTGTGTTGGGGTGATTTTAATATTTATGTTTACAAAAAAGGGCTACTCCAAGGCCATTTAATGATTTTAAACTGTTTAGCTTATGGACGTTTCCAACGTTTCTGGGCCCCCCCCCTAAAGGGCCATACTCGGGAACCCGGGGTTTTTAAAAAAGGGGCTTTTTATTGGGCATATCCTCTATTTTTTGAGTTTCTTTTTAAATGGATCCTGGGCTTCCTGATGGGCCGCCCCCCGGGTTTGGGAAGGGTAGGTTTAAAAAAAAATCTGCCACACTGACCTCCAAAAAAGGGGGCCCCCCCCGGGGGGGGCCCCTGCCTTTAGTCCCTATGTATCCCCCGTTTAACCCGGGCCGCATGGAAAGGGACGCCCCCAAAAACCACATTAAGTTTTCCGACGACACAAAAAGTGGTTTGGCCCGGAAAACCGACAACGATTTAGGGCAGCCTTTTGGGAGGGGTCAGAGACCTGGCCGTTTTTGGTTGGGCCCGGGATAACAACCCCCTCCCCCAACCCTGAACCCAAAACAAAGGAGAGGGGTTTTGGGGCTAAAGGGGAAAAAAAAAGGATGGCACGCCCCCCTTTTCCCTCGACGGGGGGTGAGTGGAAAAGGGGGTTTAGGCTTCAAGTTCCTTTGGGGTCCACCCTCAACCCAAAGAACTATTTAAAGGTTCCCAAAAAACACAAAGACAAATCGTTTAAGAGGGAAAAACCCAAAAATATTCCCACAGGGATAAAAAAATTTGGGCAGGGTCCTCAGATCCCAAAAAATTCTACAGTGCACCATCGAGAGCATTTTCCGATGGTTTCTCACCGTGGATTTAAATGCTCGGCCCCCCGACCGCAAGGCAAACAAAAGGGGAGTGTGTACGGCCCCGTACAAACAATGGGGCCAAAAACTCCTGCCATCCAGGACCCCATAAACCCGGCGGTTTTCGAGGAAGGCCCCCTCAAAATTTTCAAAAAACTCCAGCCACCCTGTCATTTGACTGTTTTTCTTGCTACCGCACGGCAAGCGGGGACTGGAGGGAAAGTTAGGTCCAAAAAAAGGTTTAACAGCTTCACCCCCAAGCCCTAAGGGCCCCCGGGAAAGAATCATGGTTTCCCAGGGTATTTTCACTGCCCCCCACCCCATTTTTTACGTGATGGTACTCTGTTAATTTTTTATTTCATAGGGCCTTTAAAATTACCCACATGTACAAATTTTCTTAAAAAAACCCCAAATAGCCGGGGCCCCCCCCACATTGATCTGCAAAGGTACCCCCCTGTATAAATGACCTCCCTTTTGTTTTTTTTACACTTTTTTTGTTGTGGGTTTTTTTTTACTTTTTTTTTAAAAAAAAAAAGCACTGTTTGGTTTAAGGGGGTGTAGAAGCATTTCCTGAAAGGTCGCACCGTTGGAAATTTGGCGCATGTGGCCAAATAAAATTTTAAATTTTATTTATTATTTTTTAAAACCACAACCCTTTAATCCCTCCACAGGCCCCCATTGAGGATCTAGATACATTTTTTAACCTCTCTGGATTACAAAAATTATGATAAATGTACATATTTCGTATTGGATCACTAAAAAAAAACCCAAAGTTTTAAAATTACCTGTGTTTACCAATCCCAAAAGGTTTATGGTTTATGGGGATTACTCGGAATAAAAAATTTCCCCCCTGAAATTTAAATTTATCTCACCCAATTAAAATTTTTAAAAGAAAAGGGTTTGCAAAAAAAGATAAAATCTTGCTCCCCTGGAAAACGGTTTAAAAACCTGTCAATTTGTGGGGGAAAAAAAACCCTGATTAACTCTTTTTTATTACCCGTTTACCTATTTGCTTATGGTTTGCCTACCCTAGCGAACGTTTTTTTAAAAATTTTATGGGAAAAAAAAATTTCCCTTTTTTTTTGGGGAAAGGCCCAAACCAAGGGCAAAATTAAACGGGGGGCCCATTAAAAATAAGAAATGGGAAAAAATTATTAAAAATTAAAGCATTTGGCCTATCACAAAAACTTCAGTATACAAAATTTTTAAATTTAAAACCGAATTGGGGGGGGCGCACCCAATTTTGGGCCCCGCGTCGTCCAGGGGGGGGGAGGGAAAAGGCCCCCAGGGATGTAGCTCAGTTGGTAGAGCATGCGTTTTCCAACCCCCCAGGTTTGGGGGGTTTTAATTCCCGTATGAAAAAAATTAATTTAAAAAAGTAATAAAAAAGGGGGGGGCCCGTAGGATTTTTTTTGGAAATCACTAAAATGTAAAATTTTAAAAAGACCTAAAATGTAAATTAATTGGTTTTTTTAGCAAATTAAATAAGATTGGGCCAAACCCCTTTTTTAAGAATGGCCTTTTTTTCTCCCCCACTGTATGTAGGGATGTATGTTGTATTTTTAGGGTTTTATGTAGTGTGTGTGTGTATATTTTGGGGAAAAAAAAAAATTTGGGGGGATTGGGGAAGTGATGCAGACAATTTCATTATGGAAGTTACAATTATCTGCAATAAAAAAGCTGATTTTACCCCCTAAAAATTTAAAAATTAAATTTAAAAATTTAAAAAATGCACAAGATTTCTGTTTTGTCTTTTTGTACAAGTGCTAAATGCACAGTTTTTTTTTGTTTTGCAAAATGCATTTAGCCTACAGTGAACAATAAACATGTATTTCTCCAGCTTCATGTCCTGAGCATTGTGTTTTCTATTTTTCTACGTAGTGTTTAGTGACTGTTCAGTAGTGTTTTTTATTTTGATTGACTCGGGGCACGATTTGACAACATAGTTCAGTTTTGAGCACAGATTGAACTGTTTTGAGGTGAAAGTTTGGTTTTGCAAGAAGAGTCTGAGGTTTTGTGAATGTAGCTTGAAAATTGGGTTTTGTGTTCACAGTTAAGAGAAAATGAGAGCAGCTTTCAAGAAATGTGTCTTAGCAATCGAGAAAAACTGTAATAGTGAAGACATCAAAACTATGAAATAACACATATAGAATCATGTAGTATACAAAAAAGTGTTAAACAAATATTTCATATTTATAATATATTCTTCAAATAGCCACCCTTTGCCTTGATGACAGCTTTGCACACTCTTGGCATTCTCTCAACCAGCTTCACCTGGAATGCTTTTCTAACAGTCTTGAAGGAGTTCCCACATATGCTGAGAACTTGTTGGCTGCTTTTCCTTCACTCTGCGATCCTAAACCATCTCAATTGGGTTGAGGTTGGATGATTGTGGAGGCCAGGTCATCTGATGCAGCACTTTCAAAGTTCTTGACATTTTCCGGATTGACTGACCTTCATGTCTTAAAGTAATGATGGACTGTCGTTTCTCTTTGCTTATTTGAGCTTTTCTTGCCATAATATGGACTTGGTCTTTTACCAAATAGGGCTATCTTCTGCATACCACCCTTACCTTGTCACAACACAACTGATTGTCTCAAACACATTAAAAAGGAAATAAATTACCTTTTAACAAGGCACACCTGTTAATTGAAATGCATTCCAGGTGACTACCTCATGAAGCTGGTTGAGAGAATGCCAAGACTGTGAAAAGCTGTCATCAAGGCAAAGGGTGGCTATTTGAAGAATATATTATAAATATGAAATATTTGTTTAAAACTTTTTTGTATACTACATGATTCTATATGTGTTATTTCATAGTTTTGACATGTCTTCACTATTATTCTACAATGTAGAAAATAGTAAAAATAAAGAAAAACCCTTGAATGAGTAGGTGTGTCCAAACGTTTGACTGGTACTGTACACTGTATGTCTGCATGTGTGTGTGTGTGTGTGTCTATGTGTGTGTGTGTGTGCATGTGTGTGCGTGTGTGTGTGTGTGTCTGTGTCTGTGTGTGCGTGTGCATGTGCGTGTGTGTGTGTGTGTGTGTGTGTGTGTGTGTGTGTCTGTGTCTGTGTGTGTGTGTGTGTGTGTGTGTGTGTGCGTGTGCGTGTGCGTGTGTGTGTGTGTGTGTCTGTGTGTGTGTGTGTGTGTGTGTGTGACAGAGGGACAGAGGTGTTTAACCATGGGTGATGTTGTTCACATATAGCTACAACCTCAAACAGACACAGATCTACTGCTCTGATAAGTCTCTATATGTGTGTGTGGGGGACAGCCTCTATTTTTACTAATGCTCTCAGCTGTAACGACATTTCATTTGGTGACTTTGGGTCTTTTGAGCATCATGCTATACTGTTTAAATGTCAGCCACCAGTGCCACCAGTGCTGGTCATAACCCTGTATAGGCCACCAAAGCACTGCCCCACTTTCTTTACTGATCTATCTGAACTATTGTCTATTGTCCTTGAGAACTATGATACAATCATTGTGTTGGGTGATTTTAATATTCATGTTGACAAAGAGACTGACTCCAAGGCCATTGAATGTATTAATCTGTTGAGCTCTATGGACGTTATCCAACATGTTACTGGGCCCACCCATAACCGAGGCCATACTCTGGACCTGGTTATTAACAAGGGGCTTTCTATTGACATATCCTCTATTGTTGATGTTGCTTTAACTGGATCCTGGACTTCCTGATGGGCCACCCCCAGGTGGTAAGGGTAGGTAACAAACACATATGCCACACTGATCCTCAACACGGGGGCCCCTCAGGGGTGCGTGCTCAGGCCCCTCCTGTACTCCCTGTTCACCCATGACTGCATGGCCAGGCACGACTCCAACACCATCATTAAGTTTGCCGACGACACAACAGTGGTAGGCCTGATCACCGACAACGATGAGACAGCCTATAGGGAGGAGGTCAGAGACCTGGCCGTGTGGTGCCAGGATAACAACCTCTCCCTCAACGTGACCAAGACAAAGGAGATGATTGTGGACTACAGGAAAAAAAAGAGGACTGAGCACGCCCCCATTCTCATCGACGGGGCTGTAGTGGAACAGGTTGAGAGCTTCAAGTTCTTTTGTGTCCACATCACCAACGAACTATCATGGTCCAAACACACCAAGACAGTTGTGAAGAGGGCACGACAAAGCCTATTCCCCCTCAGGAGACTGAAAAGATTTGGCATGGGTCCTCAGATCCTCAAAAAATTCTACAGCTGCACCATCAAGAGCATCCTGACTGGTTGCATCACCGCCTGGTATGGCAACTGCTCGGCCTCCGACCGCAAGGCACTACAGAGGGTAGTGCGTACGGCCCAGTACATCACTGGGGCCAAGCTTCCTGCCATCCAGGACCTCTATACCAGGCGGTGTCAGAGGAAGGCCCTCAAAATTGTCAAAGACTCCAGCCACCCTAGTCATAGACTGTTCTCTCTGCTACCGCACGCCAAGCGGTACTGGAGCGCCAAGTTTAGGTCCAAAAGGCTTCTTAACAGCTTCTACCCCCAAGCCATAAGACTCCTGAACAGCTAATCATGGCTACCCAGACTATTTGCACTGCCCCCCCACCCCATCCTTTTTACGCTGCTGCTACTCTGTTAATTGTTTATGCATAGTCACTTTAACTCTACCCACATGTACATATTACCTCAACTACCTCAACTAGCCGGTCCCCCCGCACATTGACTCTGCACCGGTACCCCCCTGTATATATAGCCTCCCTACCGTTATTTTACACTTTTTTGTTGTTGTTTTATTTTACTTTTTTATTAAAAATAAATGCACTGTTGGTTAAGGGCTGTAAGTAAGCATTTCAATGTAATGTCTGCACCTGTTGTATTCGTGCGCATGTGGCCAATAAAATTTGATTTGATTTGATTCTTTTAAATCCACAACTTGAATCCCTCCACAGCCTCATAGAGGATCTAGATACATTTCTAACCTCTCTGGATTACAACCAAATTATGATAAATGTACTATATTACGTATTGGATCACTAAAAAATACAATGTTTACATTACCATGTAGTTTACCAATCAAATGGTCTGATGGTGATGTGGATATACTCGGAATACATATCCCAAATGAAATAAATGATCTCACTCCAATACGTTTTAATAGAAAGTTAGCAAAAATAGATAAGATCTTGCTACCATGGAACGGTAAATACCTGTCAATTTGTGGAAAAATCACCCTGATTAACTCTTTAGTATTATCCCAGTTTACCTATTTGCTTATGGTCTTGCCTACGCCTAGCGAACAGTTTTGTAAATTATATGAGAAAAAAATATTCAATTTTATTTGGAACGGCAAGCCAGACAAAATTAAATGGGCCTATTTATATAATGAATATGAAGAAATTATTAAATATTAAAGCATTAGACCTATCACTAAAAGCTTCAGTCATACAAAAGTTAGACTTAAATCCGAATTGGGGCGGCGCACAATTGGCCCAGCGTCGTCCAGGGTGTGGGAGGGAATGGCTGCCAGGGATGTAGCTCAGTTGGTAGAGCATGGCATTTGCAACGCCAGGGTTGTGGGTTCAATTCCAGTATGAAATTATTTTATTAAAATGTAATAAAAATGGAGGGCCAGTATGAAATTGTATGCACTCACTAACTTTAAGTCTAATAAATGACTAAAATGTAAATGTAATTGGTTCTCTAGCAAATTAGTAAGATTGTCTCACCCATTTTTCAAGAATGGCCTTGTTCTCCCCACTGTATGTATGTATGTATGTGTGTGTATGTGTATATTTGCAAGAAAAAATAACATATGGGGGATTGGAAGGGATGCAGACAATTACATTGATGGAAGTTACAATCTATCTGCAATATTAAAGCTGATCTACACCCTAAAAAATATAATTAAATAAAAAATTAAAAACATAAAATAAATAAATAAAGATAAAACACCAGGTAAAAAACGTATTTTAGATTCTGAACTAAATTTCGAATCCCACATCAGGAATGTGACCAAAAGAGCTTTTTACCACCTGAGGAACATTGCTATGGTGCGGCCGTTTCTCTCTCAGGCTGATACAGAGAGACTCATCCATGCCGTTATTACAAGCAGGCTTGACTACTGTAATGCTCTCCTGTCTGGTCTACCCAAGAAAGCCATTGGTCAACTGCAAAAGATATAGAATGCTGCAGCACGAAAAGATATGGATACTGACCAAGACCAGACGGATAGCAGTTTTAAGGTCTCTGCACTGGCTGCCTGTGAGTTTTAGAATTAATTTTAAGATCCTTCTATTGGTTTTTAAATCAATCCACGATTGTGCACCCCAATACATGTCAGACATGCTTTTAAAATATGTACCCAGTAGGTCCCTCAGGTCCTCTGGCACTGGCCTTTTAACTATCCCAAAGCCCAGGACCAAGAGGCATGGAGAGGCAGCCTTTAGTTACTATGCCCCCAGCCTCTGGAATAGTCTGCCAGAGAACCTGAGGGGGGCTGAAACTGGGGACATATTTAAAAGAGATCTTGAAACACATCTTTTTAGCTTTGCTTTTCCTCGGGATGCTTTTTACTTTTTCAGTTTTTATTGCTATTCTTTAGTTGTTTATCCTCTTATGTTTGTAGTAAATATTCCTGCTTTTATTGTTATTCTTTAGTTTATCCTCTTATGTTTCTGAAGTCAGAAGTTTATATATATTCTATATAGACAGTATCAGGATAGACTCTATAACCCCTCTATCAGCCCTGGGTCCAGCTCTACCTATAGAGTTAGGGTTAGGGTTAGGGTTAGGGTTAGGGTTAGGTTCTAGGGTTAGGGTTAGGGTTAGGTTCTAGGGTTAGGGTTAGGGTTAGGGTTAGGGTTAGGGTTAGGTTCTAGGGTTAGGGTTAGGGTTAGGTTCTAGGGTTAGGGTTAGGGTTAGGTTCTAGGGTTAGGGTTAGGGTTAGGTTCTAGGGTTAGGGTTAGGGTTAAGGTTAGGTTCTAGGGTTAGGGTTAGGGTTAGGGTTAGGGTTAGGGTTAGGGTTAGGTTCTAGGGTTAGGGTTAGGGTTAGGGTTAGGTTCTAGGGTTAGGGTTAGGTTCTAGGGTTAGGGTTAGAGTTAGGGTTAGAGTTAGGGTTAGGGTTAGGGTTAGGTTCTAGGGTTAGGGTTAGGGTTAAGGTTAGGTTCTAGGGTTAGGGTTAGAGTTAGGGTTAGGGTTAGGGTTAGGGTTAGGTTCTAGGGTTAGGGTTAGAGTTAGGGTTAGGGTTAGGGTTAGGGTTAGGGTTGGTGATACAGTATAAAGTAGAACTGGGCCTACCTCAGTCTGTACATTACGTCCCTGGGTCCAGCTCTACCTATAGGGTTAGGTTCTAGGGTTAGGGTTAGGGTTAGATTCTAGGGTTAGGGTTAGGTTCTAGGGTTAGGGTTAGGGTTAGGGTTAGGGTTGGTGATACAGTGTAAAGTAGAAATGGACCTACCTCAGTCTGTACATTACGTCCCTGGGTCCAGATACACCTCTACCTAAAGGACACACATATTTAATTTGTTAAAGTGGCAATATATAACTTTTTGGGCGACCTGACAAAATTCACATAGAAATGTGAGTTATAAATCTGTCATTCTACTTTAAAGCCAGTCTAAGTAGCGGTATATCTGTTCTATGTCTGATATTTCTATGCTTCTCGTTCTTAAGATTAGTTTTTGTGTCTTTTACAAACAGCTGAAACAACAATATTTTTGGTTATAGAAAATATATTTCACAGTGGATTAGATGGTACAATGATTCTTTACACTATATTAGCTTATTTTGTCACATAAACTGAAATTAGGTGAATTAGTAGAGTTTTAACAACCAGGAAATGGCGGAGCATAGTGCAACTTTAACTCTAAATGACTACCGATACAATAGGACACAGTAGCACAGATGTAGGAATAAAATCCTCTTATCTCTGATGGGTGGTGCTGAGCCCACTGGAACAAAATGGCTGCCATGATCACTACTTTTCATCCTCATTATAGAGTCTGACATGTATCTCTGTCTGTCTGTCTGTCTGTCTGTCTGAGTAGACTGGGTCTAGAACAACCTTTTGACCTGTATCTCTGTCTGTCTGTCTGTCTGTCTGTCTGTCTGTCTGTCTGTCTGTCTGTCTGTCTGTCTGTCTGTCTGTCTGTCTGTCTGTCTGTCTGTCTGTCTGTCTGTCTGTCTGTCTGTCTGTCTGTCTGTCTGTCTGTCTGTCTGTCTGTCTGTCTGTCTGTCTGTCTGTCTGTCTGTCTGTCTGTCTTCACTGCTGAGTAGACTGGGTCTGGAATGACCTTCTGACCTGTATCTCTGTCTGTCTGTCTGTCTGTCTGTCTCTGTCTGTCTGTCTGTCTGTCTGTCTGTCTGTCTGTCTGTCTGTCTGTCTGTCTGTCTGTCTGTCTGAGTAGACAGGGTCTGGAACGACCTTCTGACCTGTATCTCTGTCTGTCTGTCTGTCTGTCTGAGTAGACAGGATCTGGAACGACCTCCTGACCTGTATCTCTGTCTGTCTGTCTGTCTGAGTAGACAGGATCTGGAACGACCTTCTGACCTGTATCTCTGTCTGTCTGTCTGTCTGTCTGTCTGAGTAGACAGTGTCTGGAATGACCTTCTGACCTGTATCTCGGTCTGTCTGTCTTCACTGCTGAGTAGATAGGGTCTGGAACGACATTCTCTGAAAGAAACACATAAACAGGTTCCAACTAGTGACATGTTGAAACACTGTAAAAACATATTATTTACTTCAGAAAGATGAGGGGAGTATTGTTGGTCTGTCCCTTCTCCTACCTCTCCTCCTGTTGTGTTGTCTTTTCTCTGTGTGGTTGACGTCAGCATAGATCACATCACCTGGACCGGATACACCTGGAACTAAACACAGGAGAGAGAGAGGTTATTAACACAGACTGGACTGGATACACCTGGAACTAAACACAGGAGAGAGAGGATATTAACACAGACTGGACCAGATCCACCTGGAACTAAACACAGGAGAGAGAGGATATTAATACAGACTGGACCAGATCCACCTGGAACTAAACACAGGAGAGAGAGAGGATATTAATACAGACTGGACCAGATCCACCTGGAAATAACACAGGAGAGAAAGAGGATATTAACACAGACTGGACTGGATCCACCTGGAACTAAACACAGAAGAGAGAGATTATATTAACACAGACTGGACCAGATCCACCTGGAACTAAACACAGGAGAGAGAGGATATTAACACAGACTGGACTGGATCCACCTGGAACTAAACACAGGAGAGAGAGAGGATATTAACACAGACTGGACCAGATCCACCTGGAACTAAACACAGGAGAGAGAGGATATTAACACAGACTGGACCAGATCCACCTGGAACTAAACACAGGAGAGAGAGGATATTAACACAGACTGGACTGGATCCACCTGGAACTAAACAAAGGAGAGAGAGAGGATATTAACACAGACTGGACCAGATCCACCTGGAAATAACACAGGAGAGAAAGAGGATATTAACACAGACTGGACTGGATCCACCTGGAACTAAACACAGGAGAGAGAGATTATATTAACACAGACTGGACCAGATCCACCTGGAACTAAACACAGGAGAGAGAGGATATTAACACAGACTGGACTGGATCCACCTGGAACTAAACACAGGAGAGAGAGAGAGGATATTAATACAGACTGGACCAGATCCACCTGGAACTAAACATAGGAGAGAGAGGATATTAACACAGACTGGACTGGATCCACCTGGAACTAAACACAGGAGAGAGAGAGAGGATATTTACACAGACTGGACCAGATCCACCTGGAACTAAACACAGGATAAAGAGGATATTAATACAGACTTGGACCAGATCCACCTGGAACTAAACACAGAGAGAGAGGATATTAACACAGACTGGACCAGATCCACCTGGAACTAAACACAGGAAAGAGAGGATATTAATACAGACTGGACCAGATCCACCTGGAACTAAACACAGGAGAGAAAGAGGATATTAACACAGACTGGACCAGATCCACCTGGAACTAAACACAGGAGAGAGAGAGGATATTAACACAGATTGGACCAGATCCACCTGGAACTAAACACAGGAGAGAGAGGATATTAACACAGACTGGACCAGATCCACCTGGAACTAATCACAGGAGAGAGAGGATATTAACACAGACTGGACCAGATCCACCTGGAACTAAACACAGGAGAGAGAGAGGATATTAATACAGACTTGACCAGATCCACCTGGAACTAAACACAGGAGAGAGAGGATATTAACACAGACTGGACCAGATCCACCTGGAACTAAACACAGGAAAGAGAGGATATTAATACAGACTGGACCAGATCCACCTGGAACTAAACACAGGAGAGAAAGAGGATATTAACACAGACTGGACCAGATCCACCTGGAACTAAACACAGGAGAGAGAGAGGATATTAACACAGACTGGACCAGATCCACCTGGAACTAAACACAGGAGAGAGAGGATATTAACACAGACTGGACCAGATCCACCTGGAACTAAACACAGGAGAGAGAGGATATTAACACAGACTGGACCAGATCCACCTGGAACTAAACACAGGAGAGAGAGAGGATATTAATACAGACTTGACCAGATCCACCTGGAACTAAACACAGGAGAGAGAGAGGATATTAACACAGACTGGACCAGATCCACCTGGAACTAAACACAGGAGAGAGAGAGGATATTAACACAGACTGGACTGGATCCACATGGAACTAAACACAGGAGAGAGAGAGGATATTAACACAGACTGGACTGGATCCACCTGGAACTAAACACAGGAGAGAGAGAGAGGATATTAACACAGACTGGACTGGATCCACCTGGAACTAAACACAGGAGAGAGAGAGGATATTAACACAGACTGGACCAGATCCACTGGAACTAAACACAGGAGAGAGAGAGGATATTAACACAGATGGACTGGATCCACCTGGAACTAAACACAGGAGAGAGAGAGGATATTAACACAGAACTGGACTGATTCCACCTGGAACTAAACACAGGAGAGAGAGAGAGGATATTAACACAGACTGGGACCTGGATCCACTGGAACTAAACACAGGAGAGAGAGAGGATATTAACACAGACTGGACTGGATCCACCTGGAACTAAACCACAGGAGAGGAGAGAGGATATTAACACAGACTGGACTGGATCCACCTGGAACTAAACACAAGGAGAGAGAGGATATTAACACAGACTGGACCAGATCCACCTGGAACTAAACACAGGAGAGAGAGAGGATATAACACAGACTGGACTGGATCCACCTGGAACTAAACACAGGAGAGAGAGAGGATATTAACACAGACTGGACTGGATCCACCGAGAACTAAACACAGGAGAGAGAGAGGATTTACCACAGACTGGACTGGATACACGGAACTAAAACACAGGAAGAGAGAGCGGATATTAACACAGACTGGACTGGAATCCACCTGGAACTAAACCCACAGAAGCGAGAGAGGCTATTAACCGACTGGATGGATCCACCTGAACTAAACACAGGAGAGAGAGAGGATATAACACAGACTGGACTGGATTCCACCTGGAACTAAAACACAAGCAAGAGAGAGGCATTAACACAGACTGGACTGGATCAACTGGAAACTAAACCACAGGGAGAGAGAAAGGATATTACCACAGACTGGACTGGTCCCACTGGAACTAAACACAAGCAAGAGAGAGGCTAATAACAAGTCTGGGACGGATCCACTGGAAACTAAACACAGGAGAGAGAGGAGGATATTAAACAAAGACGGACTGGATCCACCTGGAACTAAACAAAGGAGCGAGAGACGATATTAACACAGACTGATCCACCTGGAACTAAACACAGGAGAGAGAGAGGATATTAACACAGACTGGACTGGATCCACCTGGAAACTAAAACACAGGAGAGAGAGAGGATATTAACACAGACTGGACTGGATCCACCTGGAACTAAACACAGGAGAGAGAGAGGATATTAACACAGACTGGACTGGATCCACCTGGAACTAAACACAGGAGAGAGAGGATATTAACACAGACTGGACCAGATCCACCTGGAACTAAACACAGGAGAGAGAGAGGATATTAACACAGACTGGACTGGATCCATCTGCAACTAAACACAGGAGAGAGAGAGGATATTAACACAGACTGGACTGGATCCATCTGCAACTAAACACAGGAGAGAGAGAGGATATTAATACAGACTTGACCAGATCCACCTGGAACTAAACACAGGAGAGAGAGAGGATATTAACACAGACTGGACCAGATCCACCTGGAACTAAACACAGGAGAGAGAGAGGATATTAACACAGACCTGGACTGGATCCACATGGAACTAAAACACAGGAGAGAGAGAGGATATTAACACAGACTGGACTGGATCCACCTGGAACTAAACACAGGAGAGAGAGAGATGATATTAACACAGACTGGACTGGATCCACCTGGAACTAAACACAGGAGAGAGAGAGGATATTAACACAGACTGGACTGGATCCACCTGGAACTAAACACAGGAGAGAGAGAGAGGATATTAACACAGACTGGACTGGATCCACCTGGAACTAAACAAAGGAGAGAGAGGATATTAACACAGACTGGACCAGATCCACCTGGAACTAAACACAGGAGAGAGAGAGGATATTAACACAGACTGGACCAGATCCACCTGGAACTAAACACAGGAGAGAGAGAGGATATTAACACAGACTGGACTGGATCCACCTGGAACTAAACACAGGAGAGAGAGAGGATATTAACACAGACTGGACCAGATCCACCTGGAACTAAACACAGAAGAGAGAGAGGATATTAACACAGACTGGGAACCAAGATCCACCTGGAACTAAACACAGGAGAGAAGAGAGGATATTAACACAGTCTGGACGGATCCACCTGGAACTAAACACAGGAGAGAGGAGAGGATATTACACGACTGGACTGGATCCACCTGAACTTAAACAAAGGAGAGAGAGAGGAATTACACAGACTGCGACTGATCCACTGGAACTAAACACAGGAGAGAGAGAGGATATTAACACAGACTGGACTGATCCACTGGAACTAAACCACAGAAGAGAGAGAGGATATTAACACAGAACTGGACTGGATCCACCTGGGACTAAACACAGGGAGAGAGAGGGATATTAACACAGATGGACTGGATCCACCTGGAACTAAACACAAGCAGAGAGAGGACATTAACACAGACTGGACGGATCCACTGGAACTAAACACAGGAGAGAGAGAGAGGATATTAACACAGACTGGACTGGATCCACCGGAACTAAACAAAGCAGAGAGAGGATATTAACACAGTGGACTGGATCCACCTGGAACTAAACACAGGAGAGAGAGGGATTATTAAACAGGACTGGATGGAATCACCTGAGAACTAAACACAGGAGAGAGAGACGATATTAACACAGACTGGGATCCACCTGGAACTAAAACACAGGAGAGAGAGAGGATATAAAACACAAGACTGATCACTGGAAACTAAAAAAGGAGAGAGAGAGGATATTTAACAAAGACGGACTGGACCACCTGGAACCTAAACAACAGAGACGAGAGAGGATATTAACACAGACTGACTGGGAATCCACCTGGAACTAAACACAGGAGAGAGAGAGGATATAACACAGACTGGAACTGGATCCACCTGGAAACTAAACACAGGAGAGAGAGGATATTCACACAGACTGGACCAGATCCACCTGGAACTAAACACAGGGGAGAGAGAGGATATTAACACAGACTGGGACTGGACCATCTGCAACTAAACACAGGGAGCGAGGAGGATATAACACAGACTGACTGGATCCATCTGCAACTAAACACAGGATAGAGAGAGAGGATATTAACACAGACTGGACTGGATCCACCTGGAACTAAACACAGGATAGAGAGGATATTAACACAGACTGGACCAGTATTATAGTACCTGTGGTGTTGAATACTCATAATACATGAGCTGTATCTTATAGTATTATACAGTATTATAGTACCTGTGGTGTTGGAGGTCTTCACTGCAGAGTAGACTGGATCATCTCCTGGAGACTTCTCTGGAGGAGACGAGACAATGGGTTAAAAACAGAAACACATTGTACTGTGTGTGTGTATGTGTGTGGTGTGTGTGTGTGTGTGTGTGTGTGTGTGTGTGTGTGTGTGTGGTGTGTGTGTGTGTGTGTGTGTGGTGTGTGGTGTGTGTGTGTGTGTGTGTGTGTGTGTGTGTATGTGTGTGTGTGTGTGTGTGTGTGTGTGTGTGTTATGTGTGTGTGTGTGTGTGTGAGAGAGTGTACCTCTCCTTCTCCTGGGTTCTGGGTCCTGTGTGATTCTAACGTCAGCATACGTAACATCTCTGGGTTCAGCTGCTACATCATCTTTGTTCCTCTTGCAGAACAGGACCAGTAGTATGATCAGAGAGATGGAGAGAGCAGCCACCAACCCAGACACAGACACAGGGAGGAGGAGAGAGGGGGAGGAGGCAATATCTTCACAAACACAAGAGGAAACAACACAGTAAATAGTTATTTTCAAACTGTAATCTGATTAATATTATCTTAGACATATTTATTACTTCTAATGACCAAGCACTTGGCAGATTAATATTATTTTAGACATAATGGTGGGGTGGGGCACTTGGCAGAGATTATAAGAACACAGGTTATTATGAACATTATGTCTCACCTGTCTCTGTCATCACAGTCATCCAGCTCTCTGGTGATTCTCCTGTAGAGTTGGTACACTTGTAGAGTCCTTCATCTGACTTGGATACTGCAGGGATGGTCATCTCTCCTGTAGTCTCAGTTCTGATGAGGGACCCATCTTTGTAGAAATCAGCTGTGAGGTTAGAGGGAGTTCCCTGATATCTGCAGCGTAGAGTCACTGAATCTCCCTCAGTCACAGGAAGGGCAGGGATCTCCAGGATCACAGCACCAGCTGTATATAATATATAAACATCATATATAAACAGGTCTCTCCAGGATCACAGCACCAGCTGTATATAATATATAAACAGGGCTCTCCAGGATCACAGCACCATCTGTATATAATATATAAACATCATATATAAACAGGTCTCTCCAGGATCACAGCACCAGCTGTATATAATATATAAACATCATATATAAACAGGGCTCTCCAGGATCACAGCACCAGCTGTATATAATATATAATCATCATATATAAACAGGTCTCTCCAGGATCACAGCACCAGCTGTATATAATATATAAACAGGTCTCTCCAGGATCACAGCACCAGCTGTATATAATATATAAACATCATATATAAACAGGGATCTCCAGGATCACAGCACCAGCTGTATATAATATATAAACATCATGTATAAACAGGTCTCTCCAGGATCACAGCACCAGCTGTATATAATATATAAACATCATATATAAACAGGTCTCTCCAGGATCACAGCACCAGCTGTATATAATATATAAACATCATATATAAACATAACATCAGCTATCTGAAACCAGATGAACCATTAAACACTATAATGTTAGTAGATGGTGTTTGTGGACATACCATGTACTGTGATGTTGACAGCATTGCTGTGTTCTCCAGACCCAGACTCACACCAGTACACTCCACTGTATGATGATTTTAGTGACACGTTGCATGAAGACCCTTGTTGTTTTCCCCATTTTCTTCCACAATCTGAACGCTCCCCAGAGACTGGGTTCCTCACCACTCTCCATCCAGCAGAGTTCCCCTGAACCTCACAGTTCAGAGAGACAGACTCATATTCAAAGAACTGAGATCTGTCAGGACTGACAATCAGAGAGGCTGGAAGAGAGAGATCTGAGAGTAAGAGAGAGAGAAAGAGAGAGAGAGAGAGATAAAGAGAGCGTTATTAACAGAGCGAGAAGGTCATGAGAAGATGAGCTCCTTAATCTTTAAGCATTTATTTATTTATTTTTTGTTGTAAAAACAAAATACAAGGACATATACAACTATACATGTATTCATATATATGTATATTATGTATATTATATTCAACTGTACAGGATACTACCCTCCACAACATAACCTTCACTCCAAATCAAAACTTGAAACCAACTAACAAGATTTTGGACAAAATTACCTGGAAGGGTTAGAGACTAAGCAAATACGTTTGGTGTTCACCAAAAGGCATGTGGGAGACTCCCCAAACATATGGAAGAAGGTACTCTGGTCAGATGAGACTACAACTGAGCTTTTTGGCCATCAAGGAAAATGCTATGTCTGGCTCAAACCCAACTCCTCTCATCACCCCGAGAACACCATCCCCACAGTGAAGCATGGTTGTGGCAGCATCATGCTGTGGGGATGTTTTTCATCGGCAGGGACTGGGAAACTGGTCAGAATTGAAGGAATGATGGATGGCGCTAAATACAGGGAAATTCAACATTCACAAGGCCACAGGGCCAGACAGATTACCAGGATGTGTACTCAGAGCGTGAGTGGACCAACTGGTAAGTGTATTCAATAACATTTTCAACCTCTCCCTGACCAAGTGTAATACCTACATGTTTCAAGCAGACCACTATAGTCCCTGTGGCCAAGAACCCGAAGGTAACCTGCCTAAATGACTACCGCCCCGTAGCACTCACGTCGGTAGCCATGAAGTGCTTTGAAAGGCTGGTCATGGCTCACATCAACACCATCATCCCGGAAAACCTAGACCCACTCCAATTCGCATACCGCCCCAACAGATCCAAAGATTACGCAATTTCAAATAGACTCCACACTGCCCTTTCCCGCCTGGACAAAAGGAACACCTATGTGAGAATGCTGTTGATTGACTACAGCTCAGCGTTCAACACCATAGTGCCCACAAAGCTCATCACTAAGCTAAGGACCCTGGGACTAAACACATCCCTCTGCAGCTGTATACTGGACTTCCTGACAGGCCACCCCCAGGTGGTAAGGGTAGGCAACAACACAACTGCCACGCTGATCCTCAACATGGGGGCTCCTCAAGGGTACGTGCTTAGTCCCCTCCTGTACTCCCTGTTCACCCATGACTGCTTGGCCAAGCATGACTCCAACACCATAATTAAGTTTGCTGACGACACAACAGTGGTAGGACTGATCACCGACAATGATGAGACAGCCTATAGGGAGGAGGTCAGAGACCTGGCCGTGTGGTGCCAGGATAACAACCTCTCCCTCAACGTGACCAAGACAAAGGAGATGATTGGTGTCTGGAGAGAAACAACTAGCTTGTGTCTGTTACATGGTGTCTAGAGAGAAAAACTGGCTTGGTCTGTTACATGGTGTCTAGAGAGAAGAGAAACAACTACTTGTGTCTGTTACATGGTGTCTGGGAGAAAACATCTAGCTTGTGTCTGGTTACATGGTGTCTGGAGAAACAACTAGCTTGTGTCGTTACATGGTGTCTAGAGAGAAACAACTAGCTTGTGGATGTTACAATGGTGTCTACAGAGAAAACACTAGCTGGTGTCTGTTACATGTGTCTAGAGGAGAAAAAACAGCTTTGTGTCTGTTACATGGTGTCTGGAGAGAAACAATAGCTTGGTTGTTACATGGTGTATGGAGAGAAAACAATAGCTTGGGTTGTTACATGGTGTCTGGAGAGAAACAACTAGCTTGTGTCTTGTTACATGGTGTTCTGGAGAGAAACAACTAGCTTGTGTCTGTTACAGGGTGTCTAGAGAAAAACAACTAGCTTGGTCTGTTACATGGTGTCTAGAGAAACAACTAGCTTGTGTCTGTTACATGTCTAGAGAGAAACAACTAGCTTGTGTCTGTTACATGGTGTCTAGAGAAACAACTAGCTTGTGTCTGTTACATGGTGTCTGGAGAGAAACAACTAGCTTGTGTCTGTTACATGGTGTCTAGAGAAACAACTACTTGTGTCTGTTACATGGTGTCTAGAGAAACAACTAGCTTGTGTCTGTTACATGTCTGGAGAGAAACAACTAGCTTGTGTCTGTTACATGGGGTCTATAGAGAAACAACTAGCTTGTGTCTGTTACATGGTGTCTAGAGAAACAACTAGCTTGTGTCTGTTACATGGTGTCTAGAGAAACAACTAGCTTGTGTCTGTTACATGGTGTCTAGAAAAACAACTAGCTTGTGTCTGTTACATGGTGTCTAGAGAGAAACAACTAGCTATAAATTCTTCACAGAGTTCAAGTAACAGACACATCTCAACATCAACTGTTCAGAGGAGACTGTGTGAATCAGGCCTTCACGGTCGAATTGCTGCAAAGAAACCACTACTAAAGGACACCAATAAGAAGAAGAAACTTGCTTGGGCCAAGAAACATGAGCAATGAACAATAGACCAGTGGATATCTGTCCAAATTTGAGATTTCTTGTTCCAACCGCCGTGTCTTTGTGAGACGCAGAGTAGGTGAACGGATGATCTCCACATGTGTGGTTCCCACCGTGAAGCATGGAGGAGGAGGTGTTATGGTGTGGGGGTGCTTTGCTGGTGACACTGTAGGTGATTTATTTAGAATTCAAGGCACACTTAACCAGCATGGATAACACAGCATTCTGCAGTGATACGCCATCCCATCTGGTTTGCGTCTAGTGGGACTATTATTTGTTTTTCAACAGGACAATGACCCAACACACATACAGGCTGTGTAAGGGCTATTTGACCAAGAAGGAGAATGATGGAGTGCTGCATCAGATGACCTGGTCTCCACAATCACGCAACCTCAACCCAATTGAGATGGTTTGGGATGAGTTGGAACGCAGAGTGAAGGAAAAGCAGCCAACAAGTGCTCAGCATATGTGGGAACTCCTTCACAAAACTGTTGGAAAAGCATTCCAGGTGAAGCTGGTTGAGAGAATGCCAAGAGTGTGCAAAGCTGTCATCAAGGCAAAGGGTGGCGACTTTGAAGAATCTAAAATCTAAAGTATATTTTCATTTGTTTAACACTTTTTTGGTTACTACATAATTCCATATGTGTTATTTTCATAGTTTTGATGTCTTCACTATTATTCTACAATGTAGAAAAACCCTTGAATGAATAGGTGTGTCCAAACTTTGCTACTGTTATTGAGCAGGTGATGAATAAAGAGAAATGTTACTATTATAGAGCAGGTGATGAATAAAGAGAAATGTTACTATTATAGAGCAGGTGATGAATATAGAGAAATGTTACTATTATAGAGCAGGTGATGAATATAGAGAAATGTTACTATTATAGAGCAGGTGATGAATATAGAGAAATGTTACTATTATAGACCAGGTGATGAATAAAGAGAAATGTTACTATTATAGAGCAGGTGATGAATATAGAGAAATGTTACTATTATTGAGCAGGTGATGAATATAGAGAAATGTTACTATTATAGAGCAGGTGATGAATATAGAGAAATGTTACTATTATAGAGCAGGTGATGAATATAGAGTAATGTTACTATTATAGAGCAGGTGATGAATATAGAGAAATGTTACTATTATAGAGCAGGTGATGAATATAGAGAAATGTTACTATTATAGAACAGGTGA